AAAAAAAAAAAAAAAAAAAAGAGTTTGGAAATAACTTGATAATATTTAAAAGAAAAAGTTGAGAGTGAGAAAAACAAATTCACATGTTGCTTCCCTCCTATAACCAACAGAAATGGATTATAACCTTATACTATGCAGGTACTTCTTACAAATAAAGTGATTTTGTCTTAATTCCAAGCCTCCCAACATCCTAAGAGTATTCCTGTATTTTCAAAATTATTTACAATATGAAGTTGTAATTTATACAGTAACATTGCCTAAGCAAGGTCTTGTTCTTACTATGAAAAGTTAATCACTGTAACTTACAAGTACATGTCACTAAGCCACCCAGCCAGCTCGTAGTTTTACCATATCTAGTTCCTAAGTTACTTTCTCTTCCTCGTTCCTTCTAAATGAAAGACTTAAACCAACAGTTGAGAAGACTGTTGGATCAGATTGTTGAACAACTGAACTGTTAAACAACTGAGAAGACTGCTTATCATATTGTAAATAACAGTTGTAGGAGGTAAAGCAATGAAAAACTTTACACAAACGTCTATTAAATTAAAAGTAAACATACAGAAAAATGTAAGACTCTTCTCCCTTATTAGTATTCCTAATTCAGTTTAAAGCACATGCCTGAAGCTTTTTGGATGTGGACATTAAAATCTTTTTAAAAAAATTAAAGCAAAGACTACTAATATAACCCTCTGTAGTGTTAGGGTACAGTTGTATTGTAACTTCACTTATACAGCCCCTGGGGACTCCCAAAACAGCCAATTTCCTATGCCAATTTTAAATTGCAACAGAGTTGATGAGGACAGGTCCAAGTCTGATTTCTCAAATGTTTATTTTACAGGTTCCCAATTCAAATTTTTATTTTTGCATTTAATACCCATATTTGCAGTAATTCACAGCCAGAGCTCTTTTGGAGGACTGCAAGAGGCTACTTTATTAACACCTTTCTGGATACATGCAATTAAACTGGATATGAAAAAGCTTGTACTAAAGCTGTTCAGTGATGAAAATGCCTCAGTCTACCCTCCAAGAAGCAAGAGGCACCAACATGTGCAGAAAAGCTGGATATAATTCCATAGCAGAGGCATAGGCTGCTTTCCTCACGTCCTCCCTTAAGAGCATGAAAAATAGATAAAGATCATTCGAGACAACTCTCCTGAAACAACGTACATCATGCCAGCTTCCCTGATGCAGGCTCCAGGCAGATCCTTTCGGAGGATCTGACATGAGCTTAGGCTCACCAAAGCTTGTGCTATATATATAATCTCCTTTGGATACTCCATAAAGTGGCAAATCTGCCCTGCCTTCAGCTTGCCTGATGTCTGGGCTTGGCGTTGGTGTCCAGGAATCCAGCTCTGCTGCTAACTGCTCCATGCCTAAACCTGCCAAAACCTCCACTTCAGAAATTACATATTTGCCATCCTTCTGCTCCTTCCAGTGTAAAGTGTGCACCACTTTACACCACACGCCGAGTCAGCGAGGCTCAGCCAGGGCATCTCAGCACTCTGGGGTGCTACAAGACCCTTTCAGGGGTGCCACAGGATGCCACACAACATCAGTACCATTAGGTGTGCAAACATGGTTCACAAGAGAAACCCCACAATAAGAACCCACAGCGTTAAAAACCATTCTGCCCTACAGTCTTTCTGAGCTCTTAACAAGAGAGACATCGAGTCACACAGAAGCAGGGCTGGAAGGGGCCTCCAGAGCTCATCCAGTCTGGCCCCTGCCCGACACAGGATCACCCTATTCAAACCATAATCTAAACCCTGCCTAAGCCGACTGCCAGCCCTGACAACCACACACGCCCAACACTCGAGCCTGTCCCAGGTAAAGCAGGAGCACCACCGAAGCCAGCATCCTGTTTTCTGTGAGCCACTATCAGCATCGCTCAACAGATCCCGCAAAGGAAAACAAAACCCCCACAGCCCGCACCAACCTGACCCTAGTGTAAAAATTCCTCCCTGGCATGAAATGTGGCGACCGGGCTGACCCTGAACAGAGGGGCAAGACCCTCCAGCCGGAAACCTCCGGCTTTGGTCCCAGCAGCAGCCAACACCCAGCGCTTCTGAGGGGGCTCAACCCCCCACACAAGGGGAGCAGGCCAGCGGGGGCAGGAGTGGGGGCAGCCCCTACAGCACAAGGCAAACGCCGACATCGCCCCGGCCAGGGCCCGCACCGCCTCTGCCAGCAGGGGCAAGCCCACAGCTTCCCTAGGCAGCGGCTCCGCGGCAGCAGCAGGAGCCCGCGGCCCGGCCGAAGCTGCCTCCCTGCCGCCTCCAGGGGTCCCTCGGCCCTGCCCAGCACTCACGGCCTGTGCAGCGGCTCCTCGGGGACGGCGGCCGGACCCTGCTGCTGCTGGAAGGAGCGCAGAGACTCGAAGGCCTTCATCAGCTTCTCCATGGTGGCCATGGCGCCGCGAGGAACGGACGAGACGCTGCAGGAGCCGCGATGTCTCCGGGCTACGTCGCCGCCATCTTGGCCACGTCCCGTCGTGCCCCGCGCGGAGGCGCTCACGAGGGCAACGGGTGGAGATGGGGAGCGACAGCCTCATCTGCCAACTAAAGACGAGGATCGAGGACCCGGGATTCGCCCGCCCCCCCCCCACTAGCAAGTTCAGGAGGAAACTGACAAGCTTCGTTGAGAGCTGCAGTGACGAATGGGATCCCTCCGGGCGCTCCGCCCACTTGCCTGTGCTAGTGGGCGGGTCCTAGCGCCGCTTCGGTACCCGCCACGCGGGCGCCCTCTGCTGGCTATGCGGTGCCGGTGCTGGGCGGCTGCACCAGGCGGAGGGAGTGGGGGGGCGACCTGATTCATAGCAGCCCCCACAGCTCCTAGAAAGGAAACTGGCACCTTGGGTGTGCCTCCGAGTTCCCCCGTCGCGGTGGGGTAGGGTATGGGGGTGTCCCGGGCTGTGTGACCTTGTGTTTTATCCAGACAAGCCAGAGCAAGTTCCCCTGAATATCCAGGTTGTAGCCGGATTGGTCTGGAGGCGAAGGCAATCAGGACTTGTGGTAGAGGAGATCTCTTTTATTAGAGCAACTAGATTTTTGCCCACCCCCGCCCCAAGCTTGCAATTAAATAATGTTTTTTGCAAAAATCTAAAAGAGGTCACCTCTACCACGGTCCTGATTGCTTTTCCCTCGGAAGTAGACACCAGTGCGTTGGGGCGTTAGCAACCGGGCAGCGCGGACGAGAGCAGGGACTTGCAGAGAGAAGCCCGGCTCACCGCGGGGTGCCTGGTCCCAGGCCCCCAGGTCGTGAGGCAAGCTCCACGCTCCCCCACCTCTGCCTTTGTCTGGGGGAGCCTTATACCCTTCAGGTTCAAGTGTCTGTATTCCCACTCCTCCTTCTAAGATAAGGAGCTCTTGACCTATTCAGTAGAAAGTAGGGAAACGGTGCCACGACTCGTGACCATTGTTCTTTCCTAACATCCTGACTTCCTAGCATCGGGTGCCATCGCTGGCCTGGGTATCTCGACTCCCTTGAAACTGTGCCTCACAATTCACTTCTCTTGCTTCACTTCTCTCGTTCAGATGGAGCTATTTCTAGGATCAGGGTATCCGGGAGGTGGAACGTAGTGACACACCCAGCACAGCAAAGAGGGGTGTATGGGACTCCCCCACAGAAGAGGAGGTGGTTACCCAGGCGTGGGACAGCACAGAGCATCAAACCCCCACAGGGGACAAGCTGAAGCAACCCAAGTGAGAGAACCAACCAGACCACTGGGGTGCGACTTACAGCCTCTGACAAGCACATCCTCACTTCACCAGCCCTGTGGGGGTGTTTACTGCATACATGTACAAAGAATATACATTTGAAACTCAACATGCAAATCCATTTCTAAACCCATTTACTTAAAACTTGTGTGTAAAAACATGCACACACAGCTAATGCACAGAGCCTCCATAACAAGTCAACAGGATCACTGGGCTTCAGTTGCCCATGTCAAGAAGCTGAAGTCCAATGGAGCTCACCCCCAGCCTACCCCTCCTTTCATTTTCATGCCCATTTTCAGTAGTCCTGGCTTTCATGCTTTCTTAAAAGCAGGGGCCGAGAACACCCCACTCATTACATTTGGACCAGCAGAGCAGAGTGGATGGGCATTGCCAAAGCAATAATCATGCCCTCTCCTGTGGGATGTGGCAGCAGCCAAGCAGTATCTCCTGCCCTTTGAAGCAGAAGACCAGACTGTACTTCTCACTCACAGACATTGTGCAAAGCAAGGCAAAGACACATTTTTGTCAGGGGAAGGGGTGTATTCAATTAAATTAAAAAGCTCAGCTCAGTAATGTAGGATGTGGAAGGGATGCTTATCATTTCCTTTGACCATCAGAGCTAACAATTTATAAACTCATAAAAACAAGTCCTAAAAGTAGCTTTTTCCTTGGAATGGACAGCAGCTGGTATTGGATATATTAATCAAGAGATCTTCGGAAGCCACTATCAGGCCAAACTATGTATTTCATACATTATACACACAGCACAAAGTACATTTGCCAAATACTGCTGTACTATCAGTACTCAGTATAGTTTTACAGAACAGTTTATACCCATTTCCAGCAACTGCACTTAATACACATTTGCTTGCCAATTGCTATTGCTGCTTGATTCTAACTTCTCAAAATGGAAAAGCCAAACACCTCCCTACTCTTTCTTTCTCCCTATGCATTTATTGCAGAACAAAGGCATTGACCAAGGTAAAAGGAGACATTTTTACAGGAAGCTATGCTGAAAGTTGGCAACACATCATCAGTTCTTTTCAAAGTGAATAATTTAATCTGGAAGAGGTCCCATTTTTTCTTGTTTTCCAGTCCCTTGTTTTGAGGCAGGTGTAGGTCAAACTCAAACTAAGTTTATTTTGTATCTATATTACTGTACTAAATACCAACATGGCGTTTTATGTTCATATGGGCTTCCTCTTTACTTGTATAACATTCACTGAATTAAAATAACCTCTTCATATCTTGTCCTATTTGACCATGAAACATGTTCCAAATACTTTGATTTCCCAGAAGGAAGGACTCCTCTCTCATGGCTGACTTGCCACATCCCAGGGTATTTTCTACTGCTATTCAAAATTACTGCTAAATTTACAGCTTTCTATTGTGAAGCTGTTTTTTAAGTCAATATGTCTGTCAGTGCCCATCCAATTAAAAAAAAAATCAATGTGGTATTGCAATGAATTTTCCATACAGTTACAACTGCTGGCTTTAAAACTGGTGCTAGAATACGTTTAATTGCAACTCCCCGGTTATATAAGTTAGATTAGTTAAAACAAGGAAGGAATATTTTCCCTGTGTAATTAAAAACTCTGACAACATGCATGTTTTTGGAAAAGTAGCAAAGGAACAAATGTGACTCATTTAGTGCATAAGTAACTGCACAATAAATCCTACACTTCTGTTTTCTTACTTCTATACATCCTGTTTTCACATCACTGATTTCTGTTTATTGAATAAGTGTTGTGCCAGCTGCTGTCATTCATTTGGAGAAAAGCTGCAGCATAAGCTCCAACAAGATTTTTTTAATAGATTTTGGTTCCATACAAATTCAGCTTTGCTGTCTTTCCTGACATGGATGCTCCAGAGTATCCCCTCAGCTATGGAAAATGCTTTATTTAGTCAAGCCTATATTTGATTATTTTAAGTTAAATAAAAGAAATATCAGAGTTCCTGGTAGGGCTAGGTCCAACTTCAAGCCTTACAAGTTAAACTCCCTAATACACAATTTGTAGCCCCTAGAACAGAATGCAGTTAAGTGCCTGGATTCCCTGCACTGAGAAAGTTGAGACACATCAAGGTGGGATCGGAGGCAACTGCCTGGAGCTAGCCAATAAAAAACGCTAAGCACTGACCTAAGGCTGAAATCCCGTCCCCTTCTATCATTCAGGCAAAGGATGGGATTGAGCAAAGGTTCCACTTGCTTGAAACCTAGAGCCCAAATTCCTCTCCCAAGGGCAGGTGCCTGTATCTGTTCCCTGAAGGCTGCCAGAATCTCTCTTGCCTGCTGCATCTGCTGGGCTTCAGCACTCAAACTATTCTATAGCCTAGGCCCTAGTAGTTAGTCATTCTTCAGGGACATGGGAAAAGTAGGTGTGAACCCTTCAGGCTGAACAGGACCCAGAACTCAGGTCCCTCACTTCCCGAGAAAGTTCAAATCATTAGTATCGAAGACAAAGCTGTCCAACTTTTGAGCTGCTGCGGGATGGGGGGTGCTGCACACCATCTGGGCCCCCCAACACAGGCTGTGCAGAATCCCCAGGACCTTCATCACATAGGCCCCCTCCATGGGTTCCTACAGGCTACACCCCCCTGTGGGACAGGAAGCAGAAGCCGTTGGAAGGGAGGGGAGCCAGGCACTCCCACAGCCACAGAAAGAATAGTTGAGGGTATGGAGCAGTTAGATGGGAACCTACTGGCTGCAAGTTAGCTCCATCCCTGCCATACACAATTCAGAGGCCTTGAGTGGACGACCTTGAGCTAAAAGAGAGGCACAGCCCCCAGTACTTCCTCCTCCTCCTCACTGACCAAGTGCATTTTAAAAAGAAAGCAGCCACTTAGGGTATTCTAAGCATGTTATGAGCTTCCTTACTGTGTAGAAACAGAACTGCAAGTGTCAGTGGAACTTTAAAGTTAAGAAGGGAGGTAGCCAGTGAATTTAAGCACCTCCAAGAGTCATCAGCCACTGAGCAAAAGTTTTTGGGACTGCAGTTTTGGACTTCACCTAACGCCCGCTAAATTCTCTTTTAAGCACCAAAATCTTTACACACATGTAATCCTTAAACAGATTTTTTAGTAATCCCAGATTACTTTCTCTTTGCTATAGGCATGCTATAAGCTTTTTATTAGGTCTTACATTAGTATACTCTGAGGTGCAGTAAGACCCTTCAGCAAGCTAAATAAAGCCCTGTTGCAATCACTAGGGCAGAAGGGTCTTTTCCAAGACAGAGGCTTTTTAATATAAATGTAGAACAAGGATCAGTCTTACATACATGCTAATGAGAAGTCTTGCTCATTTAGCCATAAGAAACTAAAGACTGAGATAACTTTTGCCCACAACATTCCTCAAGCTACACAATTTCTTATGTTGTTATAATAATAATTTTATTCAAGTGTTGGAAAAAACTTGGAAAAAGAGTTGGAAAACATTTTTCTTTGCAAGCTTTTGGGCACAACCACCTTTTGTCAGGCTGAGGAAGTATCTGCAGTTGGTGTGTGCTCTTCCTGGATGGAATAAATAGTAAAGAAGCCAGAGGCTGGTAAGCAGCAAGAAAGCCAGTCAGTGACAATATAAATTAAGGAGTCAATGGGTGAGAGACAGGTGGGGGGTGCGATGGGGAGGGGAATGAATGTAGCTAGTAAATAGTGGAGAGGTACCTGGGGAGTCAGATGTTAGGCAGGTTATAGTGTATCATAAATCCAATGTCTATATTTAGTCCATGATTTTTTGTATCCAGTAGACTGATGAAGTGAAGTTCATAGGC